ATTTAGATTGGAGTAAGTTGAATTTTTTGGGTACTGTTGTCTTGCTGGATAGTGGTGTAGCTGATAATTGCAGTCATAATAATTTGTTAGTCAGCAAGTTTCCTGGTTTGGGACTAGTTTTTTCTTTCGTGATAAAAAGTTGGTTTTGGAACATGGAAATTTTGAGAACACTCAGTTGTTTTGCAATATAAGCATTGGCTGAGTTAGTAAGTTGTATGATTTTTCTGCTGATTTTGAAGGTTTGCATGTTTTTTAAAAGGATAATTTTGTTGTATTTAAGCTTGATCCGTTTAATCTGTTTCGTTCTAGCCCAAGTTTCTATTTCGGTAAGAGTAGAATTAGTTATTGGCATTTTTTAAATGTTATTTGACTGCTTTTGTTTTTATTGGTTTGTGCGTCAAGCAGTATTTTCGTAAAGACTAATTTTGGGCTGTGAATCTTTGAAGTCTTAATGATTGTACTTTAAATTAAAATATTGCTTTTGTAATTTAGAAGTTAAAGTAATACTGATGTTTTCAGATTCAAGAGTTTATCGTTTGTTTCTTGTTCAGTTATCGTACCTCATCTAAATACTTGAGTCAACAATCGCTTTCGCTTTGTTTCAAAAACATTTGTTAACCAGACAAACAACTTTATTTTGCAACGAATTAAAGTGTAATCACCTCATATTCACCACAAGAAAAAGAGAATCAAATATAGTTCCTGTTTCATAATTAATAATTCAAATACAAAATGCATGAAATGTTCTTTCTAATATAAGTTCTTCACCAAAAATAACATTTTATTAACTCTGAAGTCGTTTCTAGACCTATCACCAGTTCTAAAAAATTGTACCTTATAAAAAGCAAAAAAAAAAACTTTTGACGACTTAATAATAACGTGACCCAGTACCGCTTTCCCTCCGACCTTAAAAAATTACCACATCTAAGAGAATCACAAGATTTTATTCATTCGCTTTTACAGTGTACTGGAACTGTATGCGTGATGAACAAAAATATGAAACCAGCAAATGGTGAATAAGTACAGCAGAAGACATTGCGCATTGCGCGCGCTAACAGTGTTCCCAGAAAAAATTTGAAGAGCATTTAGACCATCAAAAATTGTTTCAGACTGCTAAATAAATGTAAACATACAAGCAGATGATTAGAACAAAAACTTGGTGGAAAAAAGTACTGCAGATGACTAGACAATAATATAATAGGTCTAACGCAGCAAAGTTTTTATGCTTGGAGGTTTTTTCAACATATTTTTTCAACAACACAGTCTGGGATCCCTGAAGTTTAAAGCGCATCTCCGTAGGAGGATAGCAGAATGAAAATTCAACGTTGCCTACTCGACTTTCTTTTTCATTCAAAGATTATTTCCGGAAAAACAAGATGTTTTAACTTGTCAGGGTGAAAAAACCTGCTGAGCCAGCAGTCTCTAGCAGTCTGCTGCACCGACAACCAGACTATCTGTTTTACACCTCGTATAACACCTTTCTTTCAATTTCGTGACACTAAAGGAACCATTTTCGCTCATCCAAACGAACTGAAATGCTCTCAAGATGTGGTGATTTATTACTGGCTAGAAAGCTTGTCTGGAAATAAAATACACTTCGTTCAAAGATTTCCAATACAGTTTTTCTGCCCTACTCTTTTAAAAACTTCAAAATAAAGGATTCAAAGTGTTCTATTAGCCTCCTCCCTCATTCGTTCCGTTGTCGTGGTCACGACATTACAAAGTTTTCATCAACCTACGAACTAATTTCCATAAGTGTATGAAAGTAAAACGAGGCATTGCACGTCCATTACGAAAACTGGCACGTCGAAATATGTGATGATTCAGATGTGTGGAACTATCAGCAGATTTAAACGATTTAAAGGATATGAAACTCAGCGACTGACACGCTTATTACAAGAGCTGACCAATCTGAAAAAAGTGCAAACGCAGTAAATAAAAGCAAGACGCCTCGAGCAGCACCTCCACAAACTACCTGTTACTCCAGATGTTTGCCTACTCAGTAGTGATATCTGACCAGCAAATTGCAGACAATCGTATATCTGGTCATATACGGCTACTGTTTGTAATACGGAGTAAATGAAATCTCAAAGCATACAGCCTACCACCTAAGAACATTTTAACCAACATTTTAGATCTCTTTGAGTTTCTAGCCGTATGTTGGGATTTTACAACGCTTGAAACTCAAGCTTTCAAACATCTTTTTTCAAAAGCTCAACAGCTGAGTGCAGCAAGACAAGTTGGCCAATTGAAATTTATTAGCCGCAGCGAACCGTACAGAAACGCAGACAGGATAACTTTGGCGAACCGCCAGATTACTGCTTTAGTTATATAAACAGCCAACTGGTCATCATTTCCCAACCAATTACTGCGAGTTTTCTAGTATTGATAAACGGCGAACTCAAGGGCTTGACACATCCTTACTGGTTGTGCAACCGTTAACCACTAGATTTTTTTTCAGTTTTTCTCTAAATGAGTTGAATTTACTAAATCTGCCAGAAGTCTTTCGCGTTTCGGAAAAGCGAACTGATGCGAACTAAGCTGGAACTAGATAGCGGATTTGGTAAGTTACGAGTTTCAAACGAGCACTTTTAGGCCCTTGCCGAGGAAGACCAGCGGACGCCTGGAAAAATGGTTTGCGAGCAGCTGGTGGAGCTGAGTCTTCTAAAACTTGTGTACGTTAAGGGCAACTTCATAGAGGTTATCCGTGCGAGCGGTGGGGAGTTTCTTGCTATTAAAAGCTTTCGCGTTTAGATTAGGGACACCTCGTGAGCGGTCTGATAATGGTGCTTACAATCGCAGGCGTGTCAAAAAGAAAAAGGATGAGCACATGACAGGTATGGAAGTAATAGGTTAGGGGAAGTTTCCTGTCCTTTCTTTTCATATTACGAATGATTTTTTGCTAGTGAAGGGATCAAGACTCTGAATTCTGCTTATGATGGGTGTTTGCTCGGGCTGAATAAGTCACAGGACATTTGCTTCAGAATATACGTATCTGGAAGGTATATACTTAAAAGATTCCTCTGAGCGACTGATTAGCGTTGCTTCTGCTGTCATCTAAATTGAACGCTAAAGTGGTGAGACGTTCCGTAAACCTGCTGAAACAGGGTTGTGGTGATATCCGTCCTCAAGTGCGCGGAAAAAATGATGATTGACATGATTGAGGCATCTTAAGAAGCGACTTGAAGAAGTTCTAGGCTGGAATTTAGAGGAAGGTGTGCCAACAAAGATATCTGTGTACATGGCGTCTGCGAGGAACAGTGGTTCAGGACTTACCTATATGTATGATTCATTGCAGATAAATTGGCAGAGTGTTTCAGCCGGCTCCTCAGTTGTTTCCAAAGTTTGGAAGTTTTTGAGACTGGTGTCCAATTGTGAAGCTAAAACGAGGACGGGAACTGTGCTGACAGCAAAGCTAGATAGTGCTAAAGCGTGAAAGGAGGCAGTTTTTGCTTAACTTACTCATTTTAGAGATTTTGCTTCTGTTCGTTCATGAAAGAATTCAAAGAATCATGTCTTGCTTGGAACCTGGTCTTCCATAGATTCACAGAAGTGGTGTAATGCCTATATTGGCAAAATAAACAAGGAATAATTGGGAACAAAAGTCTTAAACGTTATAAGTAAAAATGGGATGTCTTGAATTTTAAGGGAAAAGTGCTTTTTGTCTATGTAATCTGTGTTCAAGACATTAAACATGAAGTATAATATTTCGAAGACATCTTGAATTAAGACAGAATTGTTGAAGTTGAGGAGCATCTTAACTCAGCGCAATATTATGGCGCGTCTGCAAGTGACAGTTTTTTGTTCCAATCGAACAATTATTATATTGCAATATGCTTCATTCTGACTAAACCAGTAACAGATATTTAGTCAGCTGTTTTCTGCTTCAAAAGATTTGTGGTGCTTGACGAGAATTAAAACCGCCGTTAAGCAAAATTGTATTTTTCTTTTCGTAATTTTAGAGGATCCAGTTTTACTGCTTGGCTTTCTTCTCGGATAACCCATCTAACTTTCGCAATGATACCTGAAAAGTTCTCTTGACTGACAAGGAATGACCAACGTATGTAAATTAGGAACTCGACTATATGAAACTAAATTTTTTAGATCGCTAAAGTATTGCGCCTACCTTTATGTGAAGGCGGCCAAACGTGCAGTCTGTCAGCATTGGGTGAAATTTTAAAGGCGATTATTAACAAAATAACTGTTTGCTGCAGGTCTCAATAACTTATAATTCTTCTACTTCATTTCATAGAACTTTGATTCTATGCAAGACTTTTCACATGAATAATTCCATAAAATAAATTTCTTACCTGATTGATTAATCTAGCTCTGGGCCAACTTGGCAGGCTGCCCAAGTGTTCTTTCTCGAAACGTTCTGTGAGGAATTTAGAAGTAGATTAACCCGCGCACGCAAGGCTTTCCATGCAGTCGATCATTTTGCGGGAACGTTCTTTGTCTCAAGTTGGGAAATTTACAGATTCCTCTAGTTACTAAATCTTCCTACGTTGTTTTTTTGATATTCACTGAACGCATTACAGCATTGTTGTCAGGGCCTGTGTTTGTCTTATTAACGTTCACTTCTCTGCTGTTCTCCATAATCTGCTTTTTGATCTGAAATTATATATATAAAGTTCATTTTATTAAAGCGATATTTAAATGTTTGAGACAATTTTCCCGTTATGTTTGATGTAGAGGAAACGACAGTATCGATGACGGGAGTAGTTGTTCTTCTAATTTAACAATATTTTTACTCTCTACTGTTTTTGCAGAATCATGTTGCTGTCATTTTTGCCTATGTGTCTGCAATAAATTGTCAGTAAATGCTTGGCAATGGACAGTTCAAACTGCAGCACAACTTCCATAGGATTTCCATCGACAGGTGCTGTATCTTCAGGGTCTTTAAAAACCAAAATTTCTCTGAAAGAGGGCTACTCGAGACCGTTACTTGTCTGTTCGTTCTATTTGATGAAACCAGAGTTACCACGTGAGGCTTTTACTGGTATTCTTTCACTTATCGTTCCCCACAGTTACTTTTGTTTGGAAATCAGATATGAGCGGTTTTATGCTGATAAAGTTTACATTGCAACACTTTAGAGCGAAGTGTGTTACTTGGTAGCCATGATTTGCTGTCGAAGTACGATATGGGTAGTGCATACCAAAGATTTTGCAATGCTAAAAAAATGCGTGAGGATCTGAATTCTTTTCTACCTCATTTGGTTGGGAATTTCAACTTTGATTCGTCTTTGGAATTCAGGTTGAAGTCTTTTGTTTTATCAGCTTTGTAATGACGGTATAAAAGCTTACTTAAGGATTGTTTAGTTTCCTAATAAGTTGGATGTGTTACGGAGTTTTTTTCTAGGCTTTTTAGTGTCCAATATATGTACATTAGAAATTCGGTATATTGATAATTTTTCACTTTTTGATGAAGCCTATAATTGGTTTAAAAATTAGAACGTTGTGTAGAAAGTGGAATAAGTTTTTTTTTTCCTTGAGATTTCGTTCATTTTGTCAAATATTTTTAGCTCCTTGACAAAATTAGTTGAAAAGCCACCAATAACTGGGAAAGAAATTTCTAGTCTTTCTGCAAGTGCAATGGCCGGATTTCGCTTGACTCCTGGAACTGTTCCAGAGCCGTACAGGCAGGTTTCACCTTTAATTAAAAACTTTCGTAATTCTTCATTAAAAATGGATGAAGGGTCAGTGTGTTTTTTTTTAACTGAGAGGTTCTGTTCGCATTTGGTGATCTCATTCTATCGATAGGCATTTATAGCTACCCAGGAGTGATAGCAGCCAGTAAAAATAGTGAGCCCACCAAGCTGGAAAAAAAACAGATTTAACTAGTAAGTTATTGGTCGATGACAAAGGCTTGGTGTCGTCCTAATATCCCCGCTGTTCTGCTGCCGTTAAACTTGTAATTGCAGATATTTTGAGAAGAGGCTAAATGACGGCAGTATGGATGGAGTTGATGACATTGGAGAAGATGGGAAACATAAAAAGAAATTTAAAAGAAGTTTGGATGATCTGGAAGGTAATTACTGCAAGGCTTTTTTTTGTAAGGTTAGAGGTACCTGACGCCAAATTTTATTTTATTTTACTTTTTTTTTTCGTTGCTTGAGAAAAAAGTATTGTTAAAAATAATCATGATCATTTAAATGTTCAGTTTGTTATTTATTTTGGACTTCCTTAAAACCGCGTGCGCGGAAACTCCTCATTCTCATTTAGATTTGGAATCAGAGTGGAGGTTCAAGAAGCATCGTGGAGATGACAAAGACAGAAAACAGAAGAAGAAAAAGAAGGATAAGAAACGCAAAGTTTCTTTTATGACTTTTTTATCCACTTTTCTTCATAGTAATGGATATATTTTTAATATATTTTAGAGAACTAAGTGAGAATTAATTCTTTTTTTAGGGAATGAGCAACTAATTGGTCAAATGATGCTATAGTATGTTTATTTAAATCTTTATTTATTTTTTTGACAATATTTCATTTATTTTTAGAAGGATGGTAGAGAGGACGACCTCAGTCGGAAAGCGAAGAAGTAGGCCGTGGTGTCTGATGACAGTTCGATTTTTCCTATTAAGCTTCCAGTTAGTCATTGGACCAAAATACTGTTTCATTGCTTGCTGTGAAAATAAGTTCTTAGACGATTCTGTTGTCATGACAAAACTCAGGCACATTTTGGACAGTATAATGCGTGGGAAGGCGCCGACTTTTTTTTCAGGATCTCTTAGCTTAAAACTACTCTTTGTTTATCTTTGCTGACTTGTTTCTTAGTAGTCTTTGATGTTTTATGAAGCATTAACTTTTAGTCACAAACTTGCATTATGGTGTCAATAAATTGTGGTAGTAATCGCTTACGGATGAAGATTTTTCTCTCCAGCAAGAAGTTTCGTTATTGAGATGAGTAGGGTAGTTCGAACCAGGTGCTCAAACGTATCTAGGAGGTTTCAATATGTTTTTCAGACAGAAAATGAAACTTGTGTTTTCAGTTACAGTTAGACTTGTTTGTGTGTGTGTTTTTACAATTATTTTGCTTTTTGAAAATGTTTGTTATGCAGCAAGTTCTTACGTGGCCTTCCACTTATGGTTTCTGCATTATTCCTTTAGAATTTCGTAGGAGAAGAACCTAGGGTTATTTTTTTTTTTTTTTTTTTTTTTTTTTTTTTTT